TGCCCCGTCGGACCCAATGCTCAGCTTCCTCCCTTCCTCCCGCTGCCGCCGTGGAAACGGTGCCGCGACCGCTAACCTAAACACCAAAAATGCTGCGTGTGCGTCCCGCCCACCTCCAGCCCGTCAGGGACAGGAAGAGCCTGAACAGCCCGGTGAGGAGGGCCGGTTCTGTCCTGGGCTGCTCCCTGGACCCCACAGAGGAGGTGGTGACAGGAGGACGTTAGCAAAGCTCACATCCATCCTGGACAACCCCTGTGACCCGCTGCCTGAGGCGGTGGAGGCTGTGAGGTCCTTCCTCCACCTGCAGCATCAGCATCACCGGCTGATGTTCACCACAAACATTTCATGGTGTGGAATTCACTTTTGCACTCCAGATTTGCTCCGTCTGTTCTTCTTTCCATGTAAACACTGTTATTATTAACTGTTGTTATTTCTTGTACTCTCTATATTGCTGGATGCTGCTGGACATTTCCCCCAGTGAGGGACCAATAAACAATTATTCTATTCTAAGCAGCTGGTAGCATCAGTATTATGGGATGGATCATAGTGGTACCAGTTTAATGTCTATGACATACGGTCATAGAAACAATCAGTGGTACCGTGGATGTGGTTCTGGTTCTGATCAGTCACCAGAGAAAACTTTACAAAGTGCATTCTGGGTAAACGTTCCAGGCTCATATCAGCATGTGTGACAGCATGAAGGTAAAACTTTGCTTGATTAAATATAATTCTCAGGAGTTTGGTTGATTTTAAAGGCCTCATTAAACTCTGAGGGGAAATGTACTGACAGGACGTCTTCGTTATTCATGTGATCCAAAAATAAAAGATTATTATTATTTGAGAAAAGTTCATTTGGATCCTGTACAAAACCAGAAAAACGTTCTTTAATACAAACTGCACCTTTTTCCCACAGCTGCCCTTAGATCTCAGTCAGTTCCACATTATTTGTATTAAATTTCTATTTTTATGTGGTTAAGTCTGGTCAGTAGCGATCTGCCTCCTACTGGGCCTCAGACAGCACAGCTCCATGATAACATCTCACAGTCTGGCGCTGAGCAGAACACTGAGCTTGTCACGACACATGAAGTTCTTTAAACTCTGCGGTGTTGTCTGAGGAGCAGCAGTGTCTCAACAGCCTGCATGGTGAAGCCCTGAAGCTGTGTTACGTTAAAACAGAACCCACAGAAACATGAACTCAGCGTCCTGAGTTCAACTGTGACGCCTCAGATCTGATTTCAGAAGCTGGACAGGATGCAGGCTGGAAGGAAACCACTCTGAGGAATCATTATGTCCTCCAATCAGTCCTTCCTCTGGACCCACAGATGAAGTCTTGGAGCTGCAGCAGAAAAATGCTTCACAAATGGTTCTATCTGGTAAATCTGCTCTGGTGGTTCTGTACATGTTGGCACCACCTGTCCCCATATTCCTGTTTTATTTCATCCTATCTCTGTCCACACTGCATGTCTGGTGTTGACATCGTCTCAGCCGTAACCCAGAGCCTCCACACAGCTCGTTAAATGTTCACTGTGCTACCAGCTCAGCTCTGGACCTGGAATGTGATCAACTGGCTGAAATGACAATAAAGACCTTTTCAACTAAAGAAAACACTGATCTGAAGTCTGCAAAGCCTGAACTTGATGTTGCAGATTATTTTGTTCTGAATGTAATCTGGTGCAAAACTGACCAGAAAATCTTTAAACTGCAGAGTTTTGTTTCGTCTTTTTGTTTTTTTCTTTTTAATTCCTAAAAAGCTCCTGCAGGAGGATTACATAACCCGCCTCTGGGTCACTTCAGGACAAACCTCCTCCCGTGACCTCCCACAGCTTCAGCACAGCAGGAGATGTTTCTGTCTGACATCATGTCAGAGTGAATACAGTCTGTTTACTGTTTAGTTAAATGACAGCATTTTGTTAAACTCTGTTTTCACTTTGACCTGAGAGTCTGAATCAACCTGATGGTCCGGAACCAATAAAAGCTGAAACTTCTCATTTCTGACACTTTCTATGAACTGACTCCTCTGGAGACCAGGAACCTGTTCACAACCTTCTGCTCACCGTCTCTGAACTCCGGCTCGGTGCCCCGGTACCGGCCCTCAAACCTGGTGTCCACCACCTGGACCCGTCTGGTCCGGACGTTCTCCAGAACCTCCTCGTAGCTCTTCACCCAGGCCCGGTCCAGAGTCGCCCTGAAGTCGGTCCGCTCCGGCCGGCAGGACTCCGCAGTGAGCGGCCCGCCGGCAGCCGTCCAGCCCCGCATCCCTCCGTCCAGCACCGACACCGA